GAAACATTGTAAGCAGAGTAAGCTTCTAATCCGCCGAGAACGACTCTCGTGAAAGGGGTGAAAAATGATTGGTGAGGTCAAACGTCAGCAGGTACTCAGACGCACGGCAAGGGAACTCCGGGCTGGCTTCCACGACAGACTGAAACGGTTTCGAATTACGTCTTCTAGCTCGGTCAGTCTGTCAACGGCATCTGGGACTTAATTAATAAGCATGAGAAAAGAATGTCATCCGGACTCGGACAGGTCTTGATACATCCGTAAACTGTATATAAGTAACAGAGAGGTTTTTTCTTCAGAAGGAGCAAAATGCCGTTCTTTGATATGTCATTACTGAAGGGTATAGATAAACACCTTTTAAAATTAAAGTTCTACTAAACTGTATGTACGGTATAATCAGCATTAATAAGTCACTAAACGAAACTGTCTATCTGTCCCACCAACTCTGAAAATGTACTCAGCAGCCACTTCAAATTAATACTTTGCAAGGCACCGTGAGATGGGCACCAACACAGAGCTGCCCTCACTCCGTAGGCCTACTACCTCTGGCTCCTATTGACTCGTGTACTCCCCGAGCTTGTAAACGTAGTTCACGATTGGTTCCGTTTGGGAAACGCACGAGGTGCAAAGTAAACGATCTACTCCGATTTCCCTGCTGGTTAGCTTGGAAGGATGCGACAATTTGGGATGCGAATGACTCTAAAGCTGGGTCTGGAATAGGAGGATTACAACCGCTTCCTGATATTGCCATTTTGTTATAGGATTTTATCAAACCAAACCTTTGAGTTTTAATTTCATGTGTTTCTAATGTTTGTACACTGGAACAGTTTCGGTGCTTTTTCTATTCTAATGCCAATTTCAACGGGCAGAAGTTTCGTTGTCAGAACTGCTTGATCACAACGACTTTGTCACAACATCAAATGTCGATGCTCACTTTTTTGTTTGTGTGCAGGCACACTACCATGTCAATAAATAAACCTTCGAATGCACAAATGCTTAAAATGATTCTAAGATATGCATTTTGTACTAAAATTCAATAAGTGAGCCTCAATCGCGGTCGTAGTGCCCTTTGCTGTGGTAATATCACGAAAAAAATAAAAGAAAAAAAAGGAAAATACCGGATCACAAAGCCACAAAATGTCCACCTTTTCCCCTTTTGGATCACCTGGAGATAAGCATGAGCCCCTAATTACAGATGACTGTTATAGGTGAAAAAAAGAAGTATTTTAACATGCTTTTCTCTAGTTTATTTTCAGAGGTAAAAGTCGATAAAGCATGATAACAATGAGAGACAATACATGACTTTTGTACTGGTTTTTTGAGAGATATCTTTTTTAATGCTTTGGATGGCGCTGTGAAGCATGACAAGGCCGAGTGATAATCGTTCGCAGTTTTTAGGCACACATCGACTTTGTTCGCGCCAGCAATAATGCGCACGTGCAGAATCCTTATTCGTCGAGCAATTTCAGAGTTTAAAAACAATGGGATACCTCATTAAGAAATTAGAGGTCACATCGATTGTAGAACAGGTGTACCACCAAGATCGAAGGGGGAACTCCTCAAGAGTTGAGAGTATATCTTGTGTGTTCTTCCACGGACAGTTGACAGTTTTAAAAGGTTATCATCTTTACAGAACATTAATTCTAAAACCTGCATGTTATCTAGGATTTTTCTGTCGCTTTGCCTAGGAATTGTGCGCAGGTTGTCGTGCACAACGCCACATTTCCATTAAAAGGAAGACAATTTTCTGTAATAAAAAGGAAAAATGTAGAAGTGAAGAATGCTTTCTTTGGTCATGTTATTTACAATATCAAGTCAGTAGATGCATTTCAATTTTTCAGTGAAGGGGCAGTTTAACCGACAATTCATTTATTGTCCTGCAAAGATATTTTGTGCATTGGAATTGTAGATAAGTCCTTAAATGAATTCACAACTTTTTCAGTATTAAAAGGCGAAAGGAAAATTGCCAAGCTTGCAAAATACTAGCCGTATTCGCGTTACCCTTTCATTAAAAATTTCGCCACAGATTCACAAAGTCCGTAGGATATTTTGTTGATTACATTGTTAGAGCAAAGAATTGCAGATTTTTCTATTTCCTCGGGGATGGGAGTTTTTTTATAATTGTTACATGCCTTTGCAGCTGTTGCTTGTGAATCCTGGCACAGAACCGTCTGGACGCTCGCCCGTCGTTCCGTTGCAGGTGACCGTCCATACAATGACAAATCAGTGCACAATCTGCTCCATACAGACCATCGTCACACCCTGTCACGCAAAGAAAATGTCAATTCTTCAAATTCCACGGCTCGACATCGCTTACATAATAACATCCAGATAAAAAAATGGCACCACAAATCATGGAAAATCACTTGAATACATACGATCTTTGCAAAGATCAAGGCCTGCACGGCCTCGAAAGAGAATTTTGTATATCAGAAAAGCACATTATGTTCTACCACGTGCATTGAACATTTAGTCCTAACTAACCATCAATTCTTCTATAAAAACTTCTGGTTAACTTGACATTGCGCTTAAAATGAACAAACCTTCACGATGTAATAGGCCTAAACTTCAACTCAAATGAAAATCACGCTAATGCATGCGTATACTGAGTGTGTGGGTTTTTGTAAATACACACAATTCTTCCGATATAGTCCTTCACCTGACTGTTCCTGTTCTGTCATTGATGAGAATTAATTTTTTTAAATGCATTACAATTCTGTGTACCTACCTCTGTACTTTCTGAGAAATATCAGCAAAACCTGCCGTGCAACGTAGAGATGGACCTTCATGGTTCCTGTGGTTAATTAATGGTCTTTTTTCTAGTCTAAGCGAACGCTCTTAAGAAGTGTTTTCATTCGTTGTGTATAAGGAAGTAAATTCGTACAAGGACTAGAAAGCTGGAACTGGTTCAGTCAAGATGAATAAACAGTAGAAAAGAAAACAACATTTCTGTAATTTTTGTACCAAGTTCGTTGTTTTTTAATCTGACAAGGAAATTTCTCATCAGTTTAAAACAACGGTCTTTTCGATTAGCACCATCTTGCAGGCGCTGTGTTCACACAACAAAGAGGAACAAGAAAGTCTAACGCAGGGTTGTGTATTTCTTGTTTCATGGGAAAAACTTTGTCATTTCCAGGGAGAGTCCGTTGGGGTGTGTGGATGACCCAAAGAACAGACAGCAGTATTACAGGCGGGAAAATTAACTACGCTTAAGCTCATTTTAGACACATTTTCAACACAATATATTCAAACAAAAATTACGTTTCATCAACTTTTATTTTGCCGGTTCTAAATAACTGCACAAGAAAACAGTAGAACTGTGCCTAGAACTTTGCAAGTAAGTTAGAAATGAGTCTTACGATCAATTAATGGGTTAACTAAGGAAAGACGAACTTGCTAGATTTGTGTGTTTCGTTTAATAAAAGCATATGACATGTCACCATTTGTACAGACTCTGTGAAAATACGATTAATATGGCGGTCTGACTCGAGACTGCAGCTTATCTTTTTTGACATAATACGCTGCAATGTACTCGTCCTCCGACTCAACATTACATTGTAGTCCTATGATATAAGCTTTCATTGTTTAATTTCCATTCACGCTGGATGGTCACTCATAATCGTGACCTGTGTAATGCATAAACATGTGCAGCTTTGGGACGACGCCAGTGAAGAAATATAGTGGATCTCGGCATACAAAGTCCATACGTTCAACTTTCTCCACTGTTTCAGTATACGGTCTTCCGATTAAAATAACAAGGAAATGAATCAATCTAGTCTATTTTGGGAACACACCTATACATGTATGTTCGTTATTATTTGCTTGTTTAATCAGCGTGGTAAACCGTCGGAGAAGACGATCCTTATATGCTACTAATCTAGGACAGCGCACCACCTGAAGATGCGAACCCTTCACGTAACTGTGATTTTAACTAAACGCACTGTATTCCAAAGTTTCCTTAGGAATCTTAAACCTTTCATTTAAAAACGAGTTATAACCCCCCAACCATCTTATTTTCTGGTCAATGTCAAAAATACTTGAATGTGCCAAAAAAAAACACCTTTGTTTAAATTACCGTCTATACAACAGAATACATTCTCAGTTATACATTAATAATGATCATAAATGTACACGTCTGTGTATGCTTATAGCTTTCAAAGATGTTATTAACTAGTCTGAACCATACAAACACTGGCTTCAGGAGTCCACCTTAAACCCTAAACACAAGTATCAAGCCCAACTCACGTCATCCGAAGTTCTAGTTCACAGATTTAGGGATTTCAACCAGGTCCACCAACAGGCGCTATAGAGTGCCAGTGACCCACCCCCATCCAGCCCCCCCCCCTAATATGAGCGATTTAGTTTCCGGGAAGTGACACCAGGTATGCTTCCTCAACTTACTTTTACTTATTGTACAGTGTCGTATGCAGAGCCTCAAAGTGGCAGCTTGAAGAATTGCGTCAGAATCGCGTCAACGCAGCTTTTGAAATATTGTCGTATCGCATGGTATAAGAGCTGAGGCAACACAAGTAAAATTACTAAGCAACATACACGGGATCGCTGAACCGGCTATTGTGTAGAGCTGTCAGATCGAGGCTCTGCATAACTATGGCGGCAGCGTGCAAAAGCGAATAGAGGGTGCATTCCACCAAATGGTTGTATTTCTTTGCGCGAGCTCATTAATATTTAGTGATTTTACAATAAGACATACCATAATCAGGGGCATCATAGAAATATTTCTATAAATCCCGAATTTAGGACTGATAGTTTCAAGTTCTGGGTATTTCTTTCACAAAAGCCCCTAATTGTGGACCTATTTTGGATAGAGGCGGGCGGCTACATTCAGAAATGAGAGCTTAGTTTTACCGCTTTTCGGGGCTAGCCTAATCTTCGTTCAAAGGGGAGTAAAAAAATGTTCGTGGCCAACCCCCATGAAATTGAAACGAAAAGTGATCTTCTGGCCATAATCTTGAATTTCCAGTAAAAAAAAACGGAGGCCAACCTCTTCACGAGAATCAACACACGGCGCTATTTTCTATGGGCGCGTATTTGGTGTAGTACAACCTGTAAAGGTAAAACATGATTATGTAGGCTACAGCACTAGTTATCGCATTGCATTGTGGGTGAAAAGTGGGGTAGATTCAAAGATGGCGATCGTCAGTCATGTATGCCTTCGCACGACCGTAGAAAGAACAAACTTACGGACTCGTGGAAGCTTGAAAAAATGCAGCCCTGGTGTTCGTCGTGTGCTTGAAACCATACGTACACACAATAGCACACGACGGTTAACACGGACGATTTTGGAAATGTAAGCATTCTCAAATTTCAGGATCATTTTAACAATTTCGATGCACATGATGTTCTGTCAATAGAAAGCGTATGTGTTGTGACTGTTGTCGGCAACCTTTCATCCACAATGCACTATCGTAAACATTGCGTTACGTTCGTGTATGCAGCTCTGGTTAGATGGGCTGCAAAGCGCCCCCAAGAGTTATTGAATGGAGCCTATTTTGTTTGGTGACATTTAATGCTCAGATACAGTACGACATGCCTGTAGTCCTCTTTTTTGTGTTTCTATCGATTCAATTTAGGCCATGGCCCTAAGAAATGATTTTGCTTTCATAGTAGGCACCGTCTTTACCGATTGGGCCTACAGTTTGTCGCTGTTTCGGTGCTTTAGTTTGGTTACCCCGAGGTGGTGTTGCATGGAGTGTGGATGGCACACGCGTGGATATGGATAACTTGATGGACGATGCCCTGGTAGATGTTTCACGGCTAGGTGGTGCTGAGGGGGTCTTCATGAGAACTATGAAAACAAAACATGTTAACAGATAAGCCAAAAGGTGGTCAAGATCGTATAGCGGCGAAGGTGCAAGATGGATAACTCTGCGCCATTTGAGCAAGTGATACGCCTGCGCAGTTTACGGTGATGCTTCGGCGCAGGATCACCAGGTGCACGTGCCTGCTGCGGCGCCTGCTGCTGTGCATTAATGTGCATTGCGCAGGCGTATCGCTTGCTCAAATGGCGCCCATGCGATTACAACGTTTTACGTGTATTCACGGTGAAGTTCGCCATCTTGCGCCGCTACGCGGCGCTGTACGATCTTGGTCAAGGTGCACAGTGTATGTGTGATAGGGTCTGCCAACCTGCAGTATGGTACCCTACCTTCATCGTGGACGTTTTCGTACATTGCTTCTGCAGCATCACCTTTATCAGGCAACGGTTGACTTGTTAGTCTGTTTGTGTTCCGTTTTCGTGTTCTGCGGCTACAAAAATGGACAGAGGACAGAGCTGAAATATGCATTCCCTATTTCCAAAGGCAATGGCTTACAACCCACACTTCTGTCCAATATCACTGAGAAAAAATTGTGAGGTTACCGCCTATGTTTGATGAAAGCCAGAAGGGACCCAAGTGCCGCGGTAAGTAGGACGCCAACAGTGAGTCCAACGGCTGCAGGTACGACAAAATTTGCTCTACTGGCAGACGATTCGGAGTTTCGCTGGTCAACTTTGGGAGTGAAATAGGTGAAAACTAAACTTAATGCTCCTGAGGATGACGAGTCGATGAAATAATGCAACTGCTGACTCTGAAAGTAGAACTGAGAGTTCAGTGCGTAAGTGTTGTTTGATAGTTAAAGAGATTTACAGGACCAACTGGCTGCTATTTTCAATCAGAAAGGAAAACAGCGGGTGTCGAAATACGTTTATGTGAATCATGATGGAATTTCACATCACGAAATTTCACATAATGTCTGTTCGAAGGCTCAGGAGGAAAAATAAGTAATTTTTCTCTGGCTACAAATACTGAAGAGGACTGGGGCCAATTTGATGTCTCATTAGCAATAAAAAGAAATAAAGTCCGAAAAATGGAGAAACTAGTGCAGTTACGCTGGTTTTGTCCTACAGTACCGGTACCTTCAGAAATCTCAATGTAGGCAACCGCCCAGGGTCCAGGGCCAATACGTGTGAACGCCCGCAGCCTAAATTGGTATGACACCCCCGGTGTCAGACCCTCAACTACAAGAGACTCGGCCGTGGTGTTGTCTGTTTCGACTAGGGATCCTTTTGCGTCTCGGAGTGCGTACGTGTAGCCCGTGATGTGGCCGCTTCTCTTGCCGCAGGGAAGTGGACGCCAAGACACGCGAGCGATTTGAAAAGACGAAGACATGCAGATTACTCTAGGTCCAGCTAATGGAACTGCGACAAAAATAATAAATAAATGCATCAATGCAGGTGCTCAAATCATAGCAAATACTGGTGTTATTTTGTGGTTTGAATTAAACGTTTGTGATAAAATTAAATTGGAAACCTACCTCCCTCATCGGTTATAATGTCTTTGCTTTTAGTTGTTTGGTTTCCCGTATTATATTTTGAAGTCACGTACACTCTATACGTCGAGTGTGCACGTAGAGAGCGTATAACGATACCCTTCTCAAGAGTGATTCCTGCGTCCTCAAACACGGGGTTGATCTGAGGTTGGCACTTCTCCAGGTCAAGAAGCTGATAACTAACATGATAGGCTGTGTTTTTGCCACACCATTTGTCGTTATCCCCGTCAGATGACCAAGACACCCTTATCTCGTTGGCCGTCGATTCCAGAGTGAGGTCTTGTACTTTATCTGAGGGTGAATGTATTTTTGCAAATTAATGCTGAGTTGGCATCTTAGTGCCTTGCCTTCAACAACATGCAACAGTCAACTGAAGTTGATTCGAGTGTGCCTCTGCAATATAGATCCATTAGGAGTAATTTTCCTTTTGAGGAAGGTCAAACCATAAAATGATAGCATTCAGCCTAATTCACACTACTCTGAGCGTGCTCGTTGCTTTGGAAAATGATTCCTAGCTATCGAATAGTTTTTGTGTATTTAGCAAAAAATACAATAATTTACCTGGAAATGCGTGTGACGAGGAAGAACATGGCTCTGTAAAACACAAATACAGAGGAAGAGAAAGTTGAACAGTTGACAAGTTCATGGATAATAACAAAAGTACAATGGACAAAAAGGGAATACAAAAACAAGACGGTAATAAATGAGATAATGAAACATGCAGTAATGAAAGCATTTTCTTCATTGTTTTTTCTAAATAAAAACGTAAAGGTGATGTTTTCGACTAGTTACGAAAATCCACAATGGCGATCACCTTGGCAGTTGATGCCTGTGAATCCTGGTGCGCAGTCTCCGGAACATTCGCCTGTTGTTTTATTACATGGAGCCCCGTCATCGCACCGACAAATTTGAGCGCAGTTCGCCCCGTAGAAACCATCACCGCATGCTACAAAGTCAACAGAGAATACTAGATTTCGATCAGGATCCTTTTGATGAACAGAATTGCTTTTTATAGGAAAACGTGAGTGTGACAAGTTTGCCTTTTACGTTTGCCTTTTATACATGAGTGAGTGGTGCTTTATGCTAAACGAAATCGTTGGGAGTGCACCAGATTCGGTACTTAAGAGCTTATACCCTGACACCCAAAAGCTCATCAATAACGATACTATAAAGACCACGTCACACCTGATTCACACTTCGAGGAACCTTACACTGAGACTTAGTGAGGTGAAAATGACGAAAATGAGTTCCAATGAAGAACGAAGTAAATTTCAAAGAAAACGTTTTCTTCCTAGAAGTAATAAACTTTTTTCATCATAAGAGTTTTAGTCTTCAAGTTTATTCGAAGGTAAACCCGGTAAAATTGTGAAAATTAGATACAAAGTTAGGTAAAAATGTTTTTTCATAATTACCCCTTGTTGTAAAATTTACATTTTCTACTTCCTTAATTCTTTTCCGGGGATCTTTCGTACAGAAAAGGTATTAAATATCACCATTTGATAGATTCTTGACAATTTATCCACACAAGAGGTCTTTACGGAAATGGCAATACAATCTCTCACATGGGTCACCACCGATTTGCGTCGTCTGCTAGAATAATTTTTCATGCCAACGACCATATGTCACTATTTTTAATGCGCGAATCCATAAACTTAGTGCACGCGCAGTCTATGGGGACCAAACCTTTGTGAGATCATGTTAGTGTACATGCTGCTTGGCTTTGCGTTTTAGAGTGCGCAAATATGCAGTTGCCCGCTGCGAAGGATTCATAAAATCAATTGACTATACATTCAATGCAGTCGATTCCCTGGTACCCCGCAGCACATGAGCAGCCATAAGGATCCGGTAAACAAAACAGCATCCCTGCACATGTGGGCCCGCCTCCTAGCTCCGGGGTGTCACAGAGAAAGCTTCCGTTTTGCCCAAATCGGTTTGGTCCTAGCACTGAAAAGGAGCAAATGGGAATAGCTGCAAAATCAAAATTGTGAAATACAACAATCTGTTCGCACCTTTACTTTTTTTTTCTTTAAAACTGAGTTACTCAGGAGTACATTCCCCTCATTTTTGCTAGGAAGGTTAGGGGTAATTATCATGTAGGCCTACGGGCGTGGTTAACTGCAAGCCTTACTCGATCAGGTCAGTGGACACTTAGAAATTTAAGTGCGAAGGTAAATGTCGGGCTTTACTATCCCATTATAAAAACATCCTCCAACCAACCAATTCCCCGCCAAAAAAATTCTATATATAGACTTGTTGGTTATAACAGAGCTACCATGCAAACGACAAAAAGGCAATTTTGTTGTGTCTTATACTTAAAAGTTCTAGTATCCTATTAATGATAATTGCCCCAAACTTCCTGGATAAAAAAACGCACGAAAAAAGGCTAAGATATGCTCATTTTATTGTAATTACCCCAAACCTACCCAGGAAAAAAATTCTGCCCCAGCCCCATCGTTTCTTTGTTTAAAAAAGGGACTCCTCACATATTTCGCAGAAACGGCCCCCAAATCCTGGCGGGCAAATACAACCACCAGTCATATCGTCGCAAACACCGCCGTTGAAGCAGGCCGGACAGTCACTGTCACATGAAGGTGCGTTCCATTTGTTTTTCACACATGCTGTGAGGAAAAACAAACAGTTGAAATATCCCCAAACGATGCACAAAATAACGAAAAACGTCGGCAATAAGTTTTCAGTTGTCTCAGATTGCTAAACAGTATAATGTTGTTTACCCCTAACAATTAATCGCATGAGAGCCTGGTTGCCAAGCATACGTTCCCCGGCAAAATGGACCTCGTAGACACCACTGTCAAACAGACTGGCATTCATGATTTCTAAGTGTAATCTGTCATTTGAACGGTACCATACTCCACTGCCGTCCTTTCTCCAGCGGGTGATCGTGCGGCTTGGGTCTGTTGCCATGACACTCACATTTACACTTTCACCAAAGTTAATCGTCTGGCTCATAAGGGTAGGGAGGAAGTCAGCTGTAAAAAAAAAATGAATGTAGTTTTTTTTTATCTGTGTTCCTTGATCACAAAATAATTATTATGAAATACACATTGTGATTTATGAGACTCGAAACCGGGATTGCTCTTGTGACTGTCATTCACTTCGTGTAAAATTTCGTTTTATATGGTTGATATTAAGGCTGAATTCGCGGAGATTCGTGCAAAATAATTCACCAGATCTGCTCATGATGACAGTTCCTATGCTGTTGTTGGCAAGGCCTTGAGTTGACGAGGTTTCACAGGCGAAAGAGCCTATCCTTGTCCTACCACCGGTTGCTGGCAAACGAAGAATTGAGACCTCATCTCCTCCGGGTAGTGCAGGGATTTCGAAGGAGTGGTTAGCAGGTAGCGGTAACCGACCCCATGTCCGTCCGTAATAACTGTATGATGATGACCCTGTATATGTGAACGTTGTCCGACGGAAGGATAACGATGCGTTACTGCCATGTAGGTAAGTAGCAATGTAGGTGTCTTCATTGTTGATGTCTATGCGGGGCTTGGTGATGCACGTGAAATCATCAAAGGCCGAAGTCCCTGAAGATCCAAAAATGGAGGGAAATGTCCTTTTTGCATTGCAATTTGGACATGAAAATGTAACACCTTAACAGGCCTAATATGGGCGATTCACAATAGCGCACCTTCAAGAGTTGCAACGCGTTGGTAAATCACAACACGCGAAATCTGTCGACCCTTTCCAAACGCGCATTGGGTCAACAGATTTTGCGCACTGTGAGTGACCAATGTGTTGCAAACTGTAGGAGGCGCGCTACTGTGAAACGCCCGTATTGCCTCAGGCAGCCCAACTGCACACGGAAGCACAGAGGCACCCAATCAAACTGCAAGCTAATGAGGCACCGTTAATTAAGTGGTACAGAGCCTGAAAGTAAAATGTCATGCAGCAAGCTTCCGGAACCCTCGCCCGGTCCACCTATGGGGATTTTATATTGGGCATCCTGTCACGTTCGATAATTCCAGGAAGAATGATTTCTAACTGAAACCACCTCAGGAAACACTTATGTCGGAACTTCCCTTTGTCTTCCTCAAGTTATAATTAGGACACGTCACGTGAACATGGGTAAAAAACGAATTTCATTAACGACCTTCCGGCAGTATCGTTCCTAGGTCTCTCTTGTTCATGCACGTTTGTTTTCATTCCTCATGCTTAACTTGAAAACATCGTTGCAAAGATTTACCTACCTGCAGCCGATGGGTTCTAGATTCAGTCGAGTTGACCTGACGCAGTTCTTGTCAGCAAAGGTTAGACATTAGAATCTTTCGTAAAAGCAGGTCATTGCTTTAAGTTTATTTCGTTATAAATTACAAAATCTTTAAGATATTTTGCTCTATTTTTGTTTGGGCTTTTACCGAAAGACTACCTGTCACAGAGTGATATTAAATCGGAATTACTTTTAAATTAATAATACCGTATAATTTTGGCCCTGATTGTTGAAAAGATAAACGTGGTATTTAATGGTGAAACAAGATTTTATTTTCCTGAGCCGCCACACCCAAACATTCCTGAAGTCAGTCATCCTTACCAGAATGATGGGCTGAGTGCCAGTTGAGTTGTTATTGGTAGATTTAGCCACTCATGCATTAATTTGAATAATTAATATTTATGAAGGGTATTGTACACAAAACATTTTGAGTTCTTTGGAATAAGGCGTGGCAGTGCTGGATGACTTTTAGTCGTGAGTCGAGTTAGTCTGGAGATGAGTAACTTCTACTTATGGAAGTAGAATAAACTACATGTACATTTAGACTGTTCTGAGAAACGGAAAGCCAGGAAACGACCAGTTCCTGGTTTTTACGTTGAGAGGAAGGAGTCGGTTGACCGGTGGTGACAGAAGGGTTGGACCGCGGCGGCGGGACGCAGAATCTTTCCGAGTCAGCCACAGGCCACAGAAGCCGACTACACCGCAAGAAACAGAAGCAACATGGTGGCGGGACATTGAGGCGCTCATCATCACATTTAAATTGTAATCAATAACAATGTTAATGTAAGAAATAATCCTCATTTTGTGTTCTTTTATAAATAAATGTAAATATTGTACAGGCAAAACAAATTTCCAGCAACAGGTGTGTATATATTCGTGTCTCAGTTACCAAAGGTCTGCCCCTAAGGGTAGGACAACTCTAGGGGTGTGACACTACCATAAAGTATATTTCCGTAACTGTTCATGTGCACACGAGACCACCACATTTGACTGCTCTTCGTGTATTTTAGATTTTTGGAAGTGATAGGTCAATGTTTTTGCAGGATATTTCTCTTTGAAGTCAAGTAAATTTTCAGTTTACATAAATTGACATGCTATAGCCTTTTGTAAAAAGTATAGTTTTAAAAAAAAAACTATATTACAAATTCTAAAAATTTTGCGCGTTATTTTTGCTATTCAAACATTCCAGAAGCCTGCCATACAGGGTCAAATTTCAGGCTCTATTAAGTGCTGAAGTGTGACGTTATTATTAATTAAGAAGTGTAGTGTAAACAATGGAGAAGGCGCACGCGTTGATTCACGCCCTGATTCTGAGGAGAATTGTATGCATAAAGTATTCATTTCGTTTCAAAAAAAACAAAAAAGTAATGGAAGTTGGCTACCAGAAATTACACTCCACAGTGATAAGCCCAAGAGATCCTGGTTTTTTTTATCCACAGCCGGTTGGAGGGGACAGAATCCCCTACCCCCATCCAAAGTGGTCAGAATGCAAGTGACAGTGACTTATTCAGGGCTAAGAGGAACAAAACTGATTTTCCCTCAAAAGACAGATGTTATTAGAAGCAGAATTACCCCCCCACACACACACACATTCACACACAAAGGGACTCTTTCCGTTTTGGATCAAAGGCTTTGATCCTCAAGGTGAAGGATAAGGCCCAAGCATTGACCCTAAAGCCCTAGGCTAAAGCCAATACTTAACCCTAGCTCAAGGCTAATATTGCAACCACTGTAATACAACTTTGCCCCAAAATAAACGCAACACAAAAGTGACATTTTCTCCCCAAAGAATTACGAGGGAAATTGTTGTTTTAGTATATGGAGTTGAAACGTAACATGTTTCCTCTTCAGAACTCAAGACTTCATTTAAATCCGATGATGCATTGAGGAGATGATTATAAAAGACAACTACTTTTATAAGACATGCAGCAATCACAACAGCTAGTGTTTACTCCAATAAGTAACACATAGGCCTACGACCATTGAAAACGGCATACAGAATGGGGACACTGCACTGAGCTGAGTAGATGTCTGTGCTATGTAACTGAAAATATCTCTACATCATGGCATCAAATGAAATTTTCGGTAGAGAAACAAAATACTGCTAGCTTTAAATTGATACCTATTCCGATTTACAATACTTTGGGAGAAAAGGATTGTTACATTTGGGTTGCATGTTTGGGGGACATGTTGATAAAACTATTATTTATTACGGAGATCGAATTGACAACTCTGTGGTGACAAGTAAAATGAATTTTGCATGTGATATGCTCAAGATCGGACCATGGTGAAAAGACACTTATAATTTTACCTACATTGCACTAGCAAAAATATCCTTTTCTGGGCCAGTATACTCAGATGGCGATCGGCAATCTCCGACACAGATCAGCTGATGTTCTGTATACATTGTATTCCATACAATGTATGCAACTTGTGAATTGTCTCCTTGACGTTTTGGCCACAAGCACAGTTATAATATACACCTGTAAAATGACTATGGCTTTGTCTTAAGGAATATCAAACGGTCATTCTGTAAAATACAAGTGAACAAATTTCACGTGTTTCCCTTCTCTGTGGAAAAACATGACTATACTACAGAGTTTGCAGACAGCTCAAAGTTGACTTTAGGGGTACAATGTATGTTTGCACAAAAGCAAAATTTCTACCTAACTTAACTCGAAAATTAAAAAATCGGAGGGACTTGAAGAGCAAAGCCCTAAAATTACTAGGCATTGATCTATTTAGGCTATGGCCAAAGCCAAAGCTTTTGCTCTCAAGCCTTAAGGCTAAGGTCAAGGCCCTGAAATCAAGCCTAAAGCCAAGGCTCAACATCAAGGTACTACATCACTGGTTCTTTCAATCCTTTACAACTGGCTACGTGTCTCGCTTTCTATTTTTCACAGATCTGTGAAAAATAGAAAGCAAGACACGTAGCCATTTGTATGGAACATCACTATCTTGCTTGGTCTAACGTCGGAATCGTTTCCCCTGTCTAGACAGAACAAACCCACGTACAAATTCACAAGTAGTCTTTAAAATGCAAATAAAAGATTTTGATTTTCATCACATCTTTCCTCTCACTACCAAAAACACAGGACATTAGAAAAAACTGCCACTAGTCACCAACCTTTAACTTGTCCAACGACCATAAGACACAATAGGCACACGAAGCTAGCAGCCATGATCTTTGCATGTGTTGTATTAGTAGGGATGGTCCTTTTTCCTTGTTTTATTCGCGATGTTTCCATTTGCATACCACAAGGACCTAGAAAAGATTTCCAAAAGAAGGAAGTAAATTGTTTTTAATTTAACTATTTCTGATTTAATTCTTCACTTCCTTTAAAAGCATCGTAAGATATCTACGTTAATATCATAGTATGTGGGTTATCTTTAATAACTGAATCCAAATATTTCCTTGTACTTTTAAAACAATAAAACGAACATGGAGAATGTTATGACAATGGACATATCTTAATTCATTAATAACCACTCCGCCATTTATGACTTGACAATGAGAAGGACTTGTTCGGAATACCCATTAGCGTAAACTTCGGCAAAAACAAGTTTTTATTGCATTTAGACAGCTCATAGCCCCCTAATTTCAAGGCTCTGCATATTGTTAAGCAAAGCGTATGCTTATAACACAAAAATTTGCTGAACAGTGAGGGTATTTCAAGTTCCCGGCAAACTTTCCACGGTTGCGGTGCTTAGAACAAAATGGGCAAACGGTTGTTTTGATTTAATTCTCTCTCGTGTTCTTTGGCTGAGATCATGCATATATTATGCAGTAATGGAAAATCCATTATCTCCCCCTCCCCCCTCTCTCTTCCTGTCTCTGACAGAGGTGGCAGCGAGAATTTTTGCAAGTCTAAGCCAAGTCACAAGTCATTTGATCCAGTCACAAGTCAACTCACAAGTCATTTAATAACTCGTCGAGTCAAGTCAAATCAAGTATTTGAGTCTTTAAGCAATAAGTCTTTATCCATGTACAATTCAAATAGCGCAATGTGTGATTTAAAGCCACAGCCAAATGGTTTAGATGTGGCCTTGAGCAGGCAAGACCAAAGTAGAGCTAAGTTTTACGCTGATTATTTTAAGAACGCAAGTGATGGTCAAATTTTAAAACTTAGTGGGTTTGACTGAGTAGTTCCCTGACTTGTGTTGGAACAAGTCATAATGTGCAAGTCCAAGTCAAGTCACAAGTCTTTTTTGCAAGTTCAAGTTATAAGTCACAAGTCAGAAACTAGCAGTTACAAGTCAAGCCACCAGCCACAAAAATAGGAACTCGAGTCCAATTCAAGTGACTTGAGTTTACAACTATGCTCTCTGACCAGGAAATACAATGATGTTGATGTATGTGTATTATGTATCTAAGTTGGACTTAATTATGCCAATGGAGATATTATGTGAGGTTAAAATGCCCAGTAATGACTCCAACCTCTGATCCCCCGTCCCAGTGACTCGAACGAAGACCCTCACTGGAACCATGCGCCCAACTCGCCCAAACTAAAAGAAGGCACCCGATCCGAATTCAGTACTGCTTTTAACAAGCGACGCTTTTGCAGATAATATTCCCCGTTCAGAACTGTTCTTAATTTGATTCCAAGAGGGTGTTTTTTCCTACTTTTCTTTAAATTTTTCCCCCTATTTCAAGGATGGATTTGCGCCGGGGGGATGTAAATTAATTTTGGAGTTTTTACCCTGCCGACATACAGTTTAACATTGTATACTCAGTGTATGCCCCCGAAGGCTTGTGAAAAAAACCACAAGCGTACTCGGGTGGGTTCGAGTCCAACCCGAGTACGCTTTGTGAAAAAGGTAAATGTTCAAAGTTTATTACTTGTACCCCCAAATTTGTTGCCCTGAAATTTATTTAAGGACAAAACTCACTTCAGCGTGTTCTTGATCGGGCAATACCATAATATATTTTTGCCTCGTTCCAGACATAGGCTATTTTTAATAAGCCTCATTTGTTTGTGGGTAGTCGAAGGCGTGGGTCTATGGTTGGGGTGGGGTCTTTAGCCCCCCTTAAAAATTTTGTCTGCCCCCCGCAAAAAGGCTGGAAAATATTCGAGCAGGAGGTCTGTATTTTCAAAACATTAAAATAATCCATGATCAAGCAGCGAAAAATAGAAAGCGACGTCACGTGCGAATGGTGTGGGTTCTAGAACCGTGCCTGGCTTGACAGACCGTCGGCCGAGAAAGGACAGAAATTTGAAGTTCCCGGAGCAATGAGCCCCACCCACTTTGAACGCCGCCCTCTCTTGTTTTGTCATACTTTTGTGGGTTTGTGGATAATATCTTGTCTAGAGCTAGGTCTAGGTCTTCGCTCCCTTGGAAATGCGTGGAGACGCGCAGACAATAGACCTAGCCGTAGCTGTGGAAGTCCGTTTCGGACATGGCCTAGTTTACAACGTTTTTTCAGCGCGCGCCGAAGCGCCTAGCCTTTCGTCAAGGCCTTCGTGGCTGTGTGTGTGTAACTGCAAATAAGCTACTGGACCGGAGACCACACGCACGAGCGGCTGCGCCACTTGCTTGCCTGATCTCCGGCTCCTAGTCTGTCCAGTCGTTTTGCAGTACACAGCCACCCAGGCCTTGACGAAAGGCTACGAAGCGTCGGGACCTTGGTTCATTTTCTCCAGATCTGACAGTACAGGTCTCGTATGATTGAGTGAGCTGATTTTTGCTACAACAACTAGCAAAAGAGCGTTCTGTGCAGCGGTTCTACCCGATCCCTCAAAATTTAGTCGGACGTTGTAGTACAGGTAGGCCAAGTCATGAACGTGAAAAAATCTGCATCATCTCCTGTTCACATGCATGGATAGTATTGTACACTATTTTTACATGAACATCTAGGCCTAGGCTTACTTCGACTCGAGTCGAAGATAAGCTGTGTGACTTCGGAGTATAATTAAAAGGTGTAGGCCAACATGTACGTCTACATTAGTAGTACATGGTGTCGTAACGCTATGGGTTTTGAAATCGAATTTTTGGGGTGGAAAGGTTCACAGGTGTAAGAGAAATGAAATTTTCCCGTGTCAGCAAACCGTGATTAATCTATACCTCTTAAAAAACAGGATAGGCCCTAACAAAGTTTCAGAGCATGAGGCAGAGTATTTTTGAAAAAAGAAGATTTTTGCTCACCAATTTCTCGCTTCCACCCATTTGACTGTCACTCCATTCGTGCCGTTCAGTTACTGTGCAAGCGTCGAGCCCACCAGTGACCGTGCTTGGTCCGCATCTTGGTTCAACCATTTTTGGTGGCAGGGGGATTTACATGTACATGTAAGTCTCACAATCTGTCACCACTAGACAGGGCAGCACATGTCGCGAGTCTCACCCGATGTGTGTTTCCAGGTCACAGCAGCACTAGCAGCCAGGACGATCCCACGATGAAAACAACGCAAGATGTCATCCTCTGCCACTGAAAATGGTCGAGCAAGATGCAGAGCAAGCGTGGTCATTGGTGGGTTCGACGCATGTACAGTCTGATAGACACGAATGGCATGAACGGAGCAACAGTTATTGGGGAACGGAGCAACAGTCATTGGGTGGAAGCGAGAAATTGGTGAACAAAATCTCTTGGAGACGACGTCACGGCACGCCACACTGGCAGACCAGTTACCAAAAGCATGCCGTGTTGGCACATGCACCCAGACGACTGATTCCTGAGTGCTGCAATGTCCAATGCACAGTTTTGATGTGATCACAGTTACCGGACATAGGCCTACAGAATTCAGTTTCAAGAATAATTTACTGATACAGAAAAGGCACACCTGCCATGTTGATTCAACTTATATCGAGGCTGGACTAGGCGTGTTTAGACAGATGAATGGTTCCATGTGTGGCCATGGTGACTGTAACATTTGCATTATTTGTTATTTTGTTTTAATGTGCACCAAGTTAAACTGCATTCTGAGTCATTTAAAAGTAGAGACATGACAGGTACCTGTGGTTGGGTACCTATAACCCAACCATTGATTACGGGAACCCGATTCCATTTTATGGATTTTATTATCCAAAGAAGTCTGTGTAAAATGTTCCCACATTTCAGGAGGAAAAGTGGCTTTTTCCTTTGGATTACTTCCCAATAAATTGTTAGAAAAAGTGTTGAATAAAGCATTTTTGAGGCCATTAAATGGCCGCCATTTACTGACAATTATTTCCCAATGTCTAGATTGCAGATGGTGGGGTTCACTTTATTTTGGCTAGAGAGAGTCCATGTACTCACTACTCCCGACAGCTAACTTGGGGTTGACGTATCATGTTTTGTTGCCTTTGAGTGAGTTAAGTTTTCCAATAGGTTTTTAGGGGAAGCTTGCGATTTTTTTCCCTGCACTGATTAATCCAATTTTACCACTTGCCAATCCTAGACGTATTGCGTGAGGTACGGAGACTTGAAGAAGTGCTGTTTGTCTTCTGTTTTGATTGTAGAATTGCTTCCTGTATCCATAGAATTTCGTGAAAAGTGCCACTCTTGGTGGTGCAAACATTTTAGATTAGGAAGGGTGGTTGCTAAGTTAGGTATTTTATATCTAAAACAAACTTGCTCACAATTATTCGCTGGGTCCATATGACCTTTTGTGTCTCTGTCTCCCTGAGTATTAGGGCTTTGCAGAATACCTGGATTATAGAATTTCGATCGATTATCAAATATGTATTCGAATATTATTTTCTGAATTTGAATATTCGAATGCAAAATTCATGATAAGGTAGAGAAACTTTTCTTTTGTTTGTAATGAGAAAAATTGCACCATGAAGGCTTGTTTTAAGCAGATCCAAATGAAAAGCGTCAGAAATTGTACGATTCAAAAAGTAAATTATTCATTAAACAATTTAAAAGGAATAGAAATTTTCAACAGGGCAAGAAGTATTCCTATTGTTCATCTCTTAAATCTTGCTAAATCGTGGCTGGAGATACTCCTAGATGTGAGCAGCTATAATATTAATTGTAATGTACAATTGTGTGCGTTATTGCAACTGATTTTGTTTATGTTTTGTTCATCAACAATCCGCCGGTCGGTACGACCGAATATTCGGATATCCAATTGCATTGAAGGTTGAATATTCGAATAGTGAATTATTTGAATCGACTTACACTGTAGCCCTACTGAGTATTTCTTCTCGTAACCTCACTGACTTTTAATTACCATGCCATGTTAATTCTTTCAAATTCAGTCACATGGCCTATTCCATATTCATATTCCACATTACATACATGTAGCTTAAACATTGGCTGAATCAACAAAAAAAGAACCAGTTACATTGTAAGTACATGTTCCTAGTGCTACTCAGCAGACAACTCGCATAACATTTGATAAAGTACATACTGGGGAAAATGAGTGGGCCTTCAGCTTTGCAGTAAAATGGGTGGAGACATGCGGAAAGATACTTTACTTCCAGGGTTTTGTTATGATTTTAATAGTCATCACAGGCACCTGCTTATTGCAGGAATCAAGTACCCGGTTCCCGTACCACCCATAAATGAACACCCCTACGTGCATGTCTCTTGCCTGTTGTATGCCGGTGATCAGTATTTCACAGAGCTGGTTGACACGACTTGGTTTTGCGCTTTATGTTGCATAGATTTTTACAGGCATGTGTACATGTATTTGCCATATGGCATGCTTTACTCAAATATTTGAACCGAAAAATGGCGAATCGAATATTCGGTCAGTTATTGAATATTCCACTTATTCAAAGCCGCCGTAGAATTATGGTATCCCCTCATAAAAGAAGGTCTATTTGCAGGATTTTTGCTTATACAGTTTGAACCAATCTGTCACGTTAAGGTATGACTTGAATCCGATTTTTTTTTTCAGCCAGTGTTGGCGTTTCAAACCATCTGGTTTCAATTCGAAACCAAATATTTGAAAAAAAAAAATGATGGGAGTTTCTGCTGCAAGAGAAAAAGATGCTGTTGCTCATCCAGTCTTAATATCATTCAAGGAATAACCTTCCCATTGATGAAAAGTATGTTACCGGTATATGGTTAGAAACTAATGGTGGTTGTGTGGGTCATATCAGGTACTAACCACAATACATATACGTAACACAGGGCTGTATGACGTCAGTAAGGTAAGGCCTCCTTGGTTTTGAATCCTTCAAAAAAATTTGATCATGGGCTTCTGGTTTTTAAAAAGTTCTGAAACAAGCTGATTGAGGAATAGTTACATGTATTTCACCTGCACAGTTAACATATGTTTCAGAAATATTTTGTGAACCACTTAAGAAGGAACAGGTTTCCAGACTTTTTTTCACTGAGAAAAGAATTTCTTCTCTTACATGTACATTGTCAAAAACTGAAGGCAACCTGCACTGTGTGTCACACAATACGTCAGTCTCTGTCAAAGAATTATTCCCCTCATGTATTTCGTTTCCAATGTTTTTCCCCGGTTGTGTTCACGAGCACAAACGGTCACAAGTTTTACCCAATGATCATGGGTTTCTGTGCAGCATTGCTCTGCATGTTCAGGGCTGACTGGATTTTTGGTCAGACTTTGTTCAGAGCTACCGAATCTTGACAGCACCAATAGATTTGTTCTTTGATGGTGTGTGGAATGGATGAATCGCCTAACCTCTGCACTTCAAATTTGTTCTCGTCGATGTATACATGTACTGCTTGTGTTTGTGTCGTCTGGTTTTCTTCAATGCCCATTGTGCAGACAAAGCCCGCCAGGGTTTCATTCCTCAACTTCCTGTATCAGTGATCGGACTAATGAATAGCTTGCACACTCACTGTACGGTAAAAAATGTTTCCAACAGCAGACAACCTTGACCTGGAAACCTAAGGCATTGTTGAGCTTGTTGTCAATGACTATGTAAAGATCGTAGAGGAAATCGGTGTCTGGACACGTGGGGTTGCTTTCCTCTATGATTTTAACATCCTCCAAACTAATGATTTTAAAAGATCAAAAGAAACATTTTGTAATATAACAAAATATACAAACATTATAAAATGGTGTTGAGATTAATCAGATTAAGTACAGTGTGTATTTCAATTCTGAATTAAATCTCACAACTTTGTCATACTTCCACTTTTTTTTGTCAGCAGTTACTGTTGAAAAGATGAGAGCTCTGACACTGAGGAGTTCCAACCAAGTTGGTTGCATTTTGCATAATGTACACGTAACTGTTCAAAATTAAGTGTTGAAATGTTAGTAGTGTTTTTCACACAGAGCTCAACATGTCAATGAAGTCACTGATATTTGTTTTGAAATCTATTCATAACACAACCACGCCAACCACCACCAGGCATGCATTGCACCTGGAATTCCCCACCCCCCCACATGGCCACTAAACCATACTTGTTCTGAAGTTATGGGTACACATAGACTTGTCATTGCACTGATTTTGTGGGGACCAAAATAATATAGTGGGGACAGCGAAATGTTTCCACCACTCTTTGCTGATCTGCCTAACGGAAGAAAATTTCCCCTTAATATGGTGAAGGCCTGCCCAGCTCCACACGCTTGCAGTGCACGATGAACACTGTCAGCATGATTCATTTTTTTCCCCCTTTGAAGCTCACGTTCTGCATTCCTTGCCAGACTCCCATCAAACAGGATACAGTTGTCATTGGTATATCCCTTGTCAAGGACTGTTGGACATGTCCCCACTTGTCAGTGCAAGCGTTAGCCAAGTTCAATCTAGTCGAGATTCAAGAATGCGCAGCTGTCTTGTCAGGCACATGTCGGCAAGCTTTCGTCAAATACATGACTAATTTGAGCCTTTTGATAAGTGTTCAAGGTCAATAAGTGCTACTTTCATATTCCAATCCATCATATTTATGATTCCTGTACTCATAGGACTTTGGTCATCATAGAAAAGCATACTGAATAGATCTTAAATTCGAGCACATTTTAAAAAACATTGTTTTTAAAATCACATCTCTTTTTTATCGTTTAGTTGGACAGGTCTGAGCTCTTGACATCGAGGGTGTCCAGAGACCATTAACAGGATGGCATGCGGCTGTACTTGCATTGGCTCTGCAGAAGACGTAAGATCACTTTAACCAGAGTTTTGGGTTAGAGTTAAGCCTTAATTCTGTGGGCATTTTGTTTCACAACCCTTCTTGATATCCTCCACTGTAATGGAATACAATGGTACATTCGTTGTATGTTTACTTTCAGGGGGTTTATCAGGCTCAGTGCTCAGATGTTGGGCCAAAACCTCAAAGAAACATCCTTTCTTGAAGGTTTTTGGTTAGGGTTTGTTGACGGAAGCAAAATGTGCAAACATAATGTACATTGTTACTTCAGTTGCTATAACACATTCAGCAAAACCTTAGATTCATGTGTATAAAGAATCCACAAACTTACAAGTTACATGCAACAGCTGGCTCCTAAAATTGGAAGCACAGCAAAAAGGATTGACGCTATAAGTATCAGTAAACCACAGAGTACCCCAACGCCCCCTTTGTTCCATCTTTCACTTAAAGCTGTCTGTGCAGTAGGATTTCATTTGAAATTTACATGCATTTCCTTGGGGTTGGAAACATTCATTGTCATATACGTGTATTTGATGGGATCTACACTCGGCAGGCCCCAGACTCCGGGAAGTTGACGCCCATTGAGAAGCGAGGATGTACCGATTGCCTGTGCTGTATCATCTTCCTCCTCTTCTGGGTGGGCATGGTGAGGATTTGTCACATCTTTTTGAGTGTTCTGTTCACCCAATTGCATGGGAGTCACAACCCGTAGTTTCCCAGGCTGGCAATGCACGTGTAGTCTGCTGGCATGATCGCATTGAACATGCTGAAGTAAATTGGTTGTCGCGGGCAGAGGCTGAATTGAGACAATTTTTAAAGCATAGGACAGCTATCACATGTGTATCAAAATGAGCAAAATTCACAAAGTCGTTAGAATTTGAATAATTTTTAAAATATGAAGGTGAAAAAAAATATATTTAAAATGAGAAAGCAAAGCTCATAACCCCATGTGACCATCAGGGAATGATGCAACCAACAGCACACTAATCATTTATACAGTTGGATGGCACAAAGCTGATAGTTTCACTGATGAGACTCTGGGGCATAGGCTGGCTGCCTGCAGCAACCCTAACTCGTACATCTATTCATTTCACTCCGTCGCGCACCACAGTTCTTCATTGCTGGCTACTCCATCGCCACCGGTAATGTGATCCGCCTCATCTACGGCTATGACAGCTACGGCAACATCTGTGGGATGAAAAACTCCAAGATTGAGAATGTGACCCAGTCAGGCATGGACATGACAGACAGAGGGTAGGTCCCTCAACTTTTTCAAACTTCCACTGTCTCGTTGCTGCTTGGTTCTTAAAATTCTTGTTGTTTTGGTCAAAGCACTTTGTAGAAGTGCAGGTGCTAGTGTTCATTCAAAATGTGCAGATTCCAGAAAAATTTGGTGTTTGTTTGGAGGGAAGAGTTGGAAGTAGTGATTGTCAATCCAGTGATTGGTAACAATGTTGCACATGAATTTTATTCTACAGTTTATTCAAAAGGCTTTATAAATACCCTATAAATTCCTCCCCGTCACGTCTTTGCAGCTTCCAAAACAGCACATTCTTTGTACTTAAACTAGACTCCTAGCCCCACAAACCATCAAAATCCAACATACAGCTGCTAGTGGTTTTTCAAGAACCTGAGCGGGAAATGATTACGAAGGATTATGAACTTAAACCTCAAAAGATGTAACTTGTGCAATTTCTCTCTTTTTTTTCCCTGTTTAAATCTGTTGCCCAGTCGTGTCTTTTTCATGGACATCCGACAGCCAGGCCCCTCGTTGGAGATCTGCGTTTCGCAGTGTCCACAGGAGATGCTGAACACCACTGCAGACATCAAGAAGTTTGCCGAGGATACGGGATCCAAGCTGTGCGACTACGACGTGAAGGTGGCTGACTACGAGAGCACCCCACGGGGACTGGACGGGCCATGTCCGGCCATCGTGTATGGAAGGTAGGGTATAATCCAATACATCCACTGCTTGTGAATGAGGCCTTTAACCAGTAGCTTTCCGGAGAACACATAGGCGTGCAGGGATTTTCCGCGCTCCTTGCACAGAAGGCGTTTGAATATGTCATGACAAATTCTGCTTGCACGACCGTATGACATGAATACCTGGGGCCCCACGCTTGAGTGTTTCTCAACTCCACATTGAGTCCACACACTCACGGAGGCTCAAAGTAGTGGGTGGAGGAGGTAGGGTTGAGCTGGTAATCAATTCTTGTTAAGCACACCTTTTCCTGTGCTTGTAACTGCCCCCGGCAGCTCCTTGAATTTGGCCTCCTTCTCCTGTTTCGGGATGTTACAGGTGGGCTACATAGTGCCCTTGAGCATGTGCACACGGCCCTTTTTAAGTGAAATTTTATTTGTTTTCTCCAACAGCGATGTTGTGCTGAACCGCTGCGTCCCCGACGACATTCAGGAGTTGGGCAAGGACGCCATCGCAGCCCTGATCAACTTCCTGAATTCCTCCCGCCTCATCTCCAAGATCATGGCCGACCTGTACATGGCGCGCTGGGCCATCCTGGGCATGTGCGGCATCGCATTGGGTCAGTAGCTCTGGCCGTGTCTTTGTTCACTCTGCCTTGTCATGTATCATTCTGTTTTGTCCCCCCCCAATGTTCACTTGGCGCTGTTAACTTTCACCTTCTCATCAGCTACAGTTTCCAATTATTACTGCTCTGATGAATGAACTCCAGTTGAAAACCGTAAAGCTGTCAATGTCGTTGAGATTGCTGCACCACTAAATGAGAGATTGCTGGTTCAAGTCACACCCGAGCAAGCTCGCGTTTTTTTGTCACTGCAACTTCTTGGCAAGCACGGAGCACACATTGCAGAAGTGGTCAAGTTGTGTAGGGCAAGCCAACTGTTTAAATCTGCATCCCACCGACGCAAAATTTTACCAAGAGTGACCTTGTTGAAATCGGCCCTGCCTGTTGCTCTGCACTCATTTGTGCATCGCAGGATCTTAAAAATCCCAGTGTGCAAGACACATCATCCAAGGAAAATTGAATGTGCAGAACATCGGCATAATGTATAGACTCAGGCATGGTATCTTCTAAGTCGTGGCAACTTTAGCCCAGTAGTGCCCAGTTTGGATCTTTGCGTATCACTTTGCAGAGCTGCCAACCAGTACAATTTTATCGTATTTCGTATGATTTTTCAGTGACAATACGGCACTACGATTTTCTCAATAAAATACGATTTACAAAAAATAAGCTTTGTAGTTATTTTAGATTTTTACCTGTTGTTTTGCTTGAAGATTGATCTTTTTCATAAGTTAATTTCGCACGGTAACATCAGTCGTCGGTGATGTTCCATGCAATTCCATGCAACCACATACAACAGGCATGACACAATGTCCATCCATGAGGCCTTTTATTGTCTGTTGCTGCTTCTTTGTGCAGTTTGTCTGTGCGCCGTACGCAAAATCAGTCCAGGGCCCAGATTGTTTCTTTTTCGATCATTCGCATACGAATCAAGCTCCAAGTTATGCAGCAGTGAAGAATAGGATTTGTTAAATTTAAGGTAAAAATCATAGGATTTTTGGTCAAGTGCGGTTGGCAGCTCTGACTTTGATTATTCCTGAGAAAGACAGCCGTTTTTAAACACTTAATTCATAACAAGTTTTCACTGCGTTTATTTTAGATTTAACAGTAAATTGTAAACATTTTCTGTTTCTGTTGACAGCGTTGGCATTCATTATGGTATTCCTGATTCGCCTTGTGGCGTCTGTCATTGTCTGGCTCATCTACATTGTCTCCATTCTGGGAGCAATAGGTGAGTTGACCCTGCATGCCTAGGCCCTTCTGGCTACGTACATCCCCAAGCCTTCAGAATCGTTTTGAAAAATTGCCTTCAGAAAGAGCATGGAGATGTGTTTAGAAGTGAGGATGTGAAAAGTTTTGCTTCTCAGATCATCTAATATGAAAAGGGACTTGGCTGATGTGTAAAAAATTCGTGCTAGCTGCCATCCTGTACAGTGCTCCGGTCAAGTCTTGTTATAACAAGGCCTTAGTGGACTGGATATAAAATTACCTCGTAGCCAGGACCTTGTTTGAAATTGGTAGAAAAATTAAAATAAACTTTGAAAGGCCTGGAATTTCAAGTCCTGCGCTAAAGTTGTATTTTGTTGTAAGAGGTTTCTTTATACAGAGAATAGACAATGTCCAAAATTTATCTAGATCCTCCAGATTGTTTTTCACATTTCTGGTTTTTGAATGGTTGAAGTCTCTGTGACATAGGCCCATGCCTTGGAGCTGTGGACCTCGGCAATTTATAGACAAGTTGATCTAGTTTGCCTTCTGTTTTGCTTGCAGGCGGCACTGTGGCTCTGTGGGTGACGTACGCCCTGAGGAAGAAGGAACTAGATGCCATGGAGGTGGATGTTGATGCTGTCAGCCGCAACGTCACTACTTTCCTTGTCTTTGCCATCCTGGCCACAATTTTCACAGTGAGTAGTCGCTCGGGGGGTTGTCATGTACGTCTCAGCCTGGCCTCGTGCACATTCTTACAAAGGACACTGCAAGACTTTTTTCATCCACGACTGTAGACTCCATTTACATGATGTCTGGTCCAACTGCCTATACTTTGGCTCGGAATGGGTCTCTCTTTCAGCGGACGAAAAGAAAAACAAAGCCCTCCTGCAGAACCCTGGCACATTGTCTACCATTTCTAAGGGCAACCAAATTTTGCAGAAACATCCCCCTAGCTTGGTATCAAATTTAAGTTACAAATTTATCAGAAACTTACATTTGCCATGTGACTTTTAATGAGGGTCATATTTATCATGTTGCATGTAGTACCAGTGTCCATCAGTTGGCGTTTTGATAGCTGAAATGAGTTCTGTGAAAGCTTTGTGAATTTTTCTTTCGCTACACTTTCACTAGCCCCTACAGGCAAAAATATGGCTGATGCAAAAAGACCAGACCTCAGCTCTGGAGTTTTCTCATTTGGTTGAAGAATCAAAGGTGTTTTGAATGGCTCTGTAACTTCAGAGAGAGCCAAGGACGTAAAGAGCTTTCCAAAGATCGGCTCTTTAATTCAGTACCGTCGGGTATCACAGTTTTTGTTCTCTGCCCGGTCCGCAGGTGATTCTGCTCCTGGTGATCCTGGTCATGCGGAAGCGCGTCGCCTTCACCGTGGAGCTCCTGGAGGAGGCGGGCAAGGCCATGGCCGCCATGCCCTTCCTCCTCATCCAGCCCATCTGGACGTTCCTCATTATGATTGTGTTCTTCGTCTACATTGTCGTGGTGTTTGTCGCCCTCTCTGCCACGGGTTAGCGAAAGCAAGCGGAACGACCACGTTACTTAACCTAAAGAAAATGACTCACATGTCGCCAGAGCAGCTTTGCTTATTGACAGGCCTGAAAAGAATCTGTTGCTCAGTGAGAAGCAGTGGGAACCTCGACATTTCCTTCTCTTATTACATCCATCTTCATCAGGATGCTATTTAGCTGTTCATCCGAACAAAAAGCTCACTTTGCTCTTTTGACGTGAACTTTTAAAACCGACGTTATGGACAAAACGGCTGCAAGATTATTTTCGTGACATCTCGTCGCAGATGCTAACTGTCATTGTAACTATTAAAATGATGTCAGATGTGATCTTGGGCCTAGTTTGTGGAGTTATTGAATAAGGAAATTTTCAAGCCACTTGCCATCTTTGCTGGGCAAAATAGGTGAAACCAATCAAATAGTCATTCACTGTTTACTGCAGTGGGTAATTTCCTGCTGGGGTTTGCTCATCACACGAAGTGTTTTAAGCATAAAAATATGCCTCCCATTGGACCCTCCAGATCCCAAGATGTGACAGTAAAACACTTCATGTAGGTTAGGAGATATTCCTTATGTTACCATCTAACCCTTGGCCTTTTGGTCACCAGGTACTCCAAAGCTCAGTCCCGATACGGGTCATGTGATCTATGACCCCCCGGAGCCGGTCAGCTACATGTGGTGGTATCACGCCATCGGCTTCATCTGGACGGCCGAGTTCATCCTTGCCTGCCACCAGTTCGTCATCGCCGGCAGCGTCGTGGAGTGGTACTTCACCCGGTATGGCCGATGTTGTCACTTGTGTGTCAGTTTATGCTGTCTTGTTTGGCTGCCCTTGCACACAGGAAGGCATGGGTTCCAATCCTGTTTTTATTGTTTTTGGTTGTCTCAAGCGAGTCTGTGGGCTTACTTGTTGCTCAGTTTATTAGGGAGGGCAAGTGCTTGGGTCTTGGTTTGGCTTGGCTTGGCTTAGTATGGATTGGTTGGGTCGGGTTGGGTTTGGTTGGGTCAGGTTGGATTGGGTCAGGTTGGATTGGGTCTGGTTGGGTTGGGTCTGGTTGGGTTGGGTTGGGTTGGGTCAGGTTGGAT